ATGGACTTGATAGCTCAATGAAGTTGCAAATAGATCATTATCAAGGTGTTTTAACGCTTGCATCTTATATCAAAACTTATTGCCATATTGTACTATCAAATCTTTTGATTTATCTCAAAAGATGTAGACTGTTGTTTTTTTAATCTTTAGAAGATATCTGTGAGTGATTACCTCTTGTAGTGGTCTTGTTTTCTTTAACTCATATGTGCTTCATTCTCTAGATTTGCAGGTAATAGTTTCAATCTTTGTATCACCTTGTCAAGTCTTTTGATGAAACTATTAGAGGTTTATTCAGATATTGAAATAACTCAAGTAAGCTTCAGTATAATGAATGAAACTAATAAATCTGTCACTATATAAAATAAAGCACAAAAAGTTCTACAAAAATTTCAGGTTTTACTAACAAATTCTAAAACTTGAAGTTCACTATGATTGTGAACAATTGAACCATGTATGTTTGATGTTGGATTTGTGTGTGTGTAATTGTATTGAATATGTGTGTGAATGCAATTTAACTATGGCATTAGTAATTGATATCATAACATTGCGTGTTTTTAAAGAGTTGAATTAGATATAGCCAAGTATCAAATCAAGAGTGTAAAAAATTGCAATATGTGTGAAAATGAATTAGATGCAGACAAGGTAATGAATTAGATATTAAATCAATCTAGTTTATCATATGAATATTTGATTGACTATGTCAATACTGCAATATGTCTGATAAAATATTTTTTATGAAATTTGATTGATTCTTTGATATAGTTTGAATTAAAGCATAAATTGATAATTGACTATAATTCTTTTGGTATTTTTTGTTGTTCAAGTTTTTTGTCATATCTGAAAATGTAGATCAAGTTTGATATTACATGCAACTAAAATTTTTTTTGTATATGCTAGTTGTGTGAAAGTTAATGGCCAATAAGCTATAAATTTATTTTTTAAATGGATTTTTTTATCATCAAATCATTAAAAGTGAAAAATCATTAAATAATGATTTATGAAATATTATGTAAAACAAGAACATATCTCTATACACAAATTTGTTGAATAAAACATTGATCACTTAAATTGACATCAACCAAATCTTTAAATTATAAGTTTATAAAATCAAATTAGGGCTATCATAAATTTTATAAGGAATGAAATATAGATTGACTTCATCATTTTTTAAAGTCACAATATTGACATTAAGAATGATGATAATTTGCTAATTTTCGGAAAACTAACTCTTGTTTTTATGAACCAGATCAACACTCTGTCAATAAGCTTGTATGAATTATTACTATGCATGCAATTGATGATTGAACTATGAATTATTACTTTGTGAGATGCAATTGATGATTGATATCATAATATAAATCCTAATGAAGCTTCCAAAAAAACGGTTTTGGTCGATATCAAGTGGTTGTACAAACTAAAAGACAATCCAACAAATGACAAGAAAAAATAAAATTGATGTCTCAAAATCTCACATAAAAAAAATTTGATCTTGAACAAAGTTTTTTCCCTTGTAACAAATTATGCTACAAATTAACACATATGCTAACACTAGTGATCAAGAGAACAGTTCATTCAATGATGAAACAAAACTTTGAAGATAAAAAATACCTAAAACATGTATTATCTTCATTATATAAATCTTTCAAACACATATGAGAAAAACTAAGTTTTACTTTTTACTATTCAATCCACTTTTAGTGAATTGATAACATGGCAAGATATATCTAATGAGCACACTGATTGCTCAAGTTTTGATTCCAACTAACACACTGATTAGCATACTCAATATTTACTTAACAAGTACACAAATTCCTGATATCTCGTTGTCAATTAACACATTTGTTCCCTCTATCAACGAAGCACATATATTGTTGACATGATGATTATAGTTGTAATTATATCTCCATTTTGAACAACCTCTACTTTAAGTCTAACTAATTAAAGATGATTACAATTTGCTACAATATTTAGTTTTATCAAATTTTTAGTTGTAGATAAAATTTATCTAGTTTTTCATATTTTTTATAAATATTTTAAAATCAAAATTTAGATAAAAATATTTGATTTTGAAAAAAAGTCAAATAAAGTTCATTCGTAGATGATTGAATTTATCAAATGGATAAAACCTAATTCTTTGCCACTAGAATACAAGGTTTGATGAGTTTATAAAAACAAAAATATATTTATAAAATGAAAATGACTTATGTGTATCATGAAAAAAAGATAATAATTGAGATATTAAGCTTTATTATTTTACACCTTTACATGGATGATATGCTTATGTTGGCAAAAAATCTATCCAAAATGAAAAGATGCAAAAATCATGATATAAGATATTTGAGTTGTTTCAAAAATAATCACAGATGGATGTTCATAAAAAAACAAAAAATAGGATTAAGTTTTTAAAAATACATTGATCGTGTACTTGACAAGTCTAACATGGCTTATTCTGTGATAATATGAATTTTTTAGCAACATATTATAAATACTCTATGTTTCAATGTATAATTTATGCAAAAAATATAAATTTTCATCAATATTTTATAATCAAGAGGTGTGCATTGTCACATATTTGATAATATGCACTACATTTATTATTTTTCAATCTATGTACAAAGAAATTGAAAAACTATGAAATGAATTATGAAATAAATTAAAAAAATTGTAGTCTGGTCCACAACAAAAACCAAATATGTATCAATGAAATAAATATCAAAAAATGTATTTAGTTTGAATGATCTATCACTTAGATGAGAAGAAGTGAAAGAAATAATTGTCAGTATTTATTGTGATAGTCCAAATGCATTACATCTTGTAAAAAATCAAGTGATTAATAGCAAAATGAAGCAAATTGATCTCAAGTATTACTTTATCAAAGATGCAATTATTGATAAAAAGGCTGAGCTGGTGAATTTTCACAATATATTCAAGCTAGTTGGAGCATTGATCAAAATAATTACTTTTTAAAGTTTAAGTGACTTTATGATACTTTGAATTTTTTGCATAAATAGCACAATTTTTTTTTACTATCATTTTTAAATCTTTATAAATATATAACAATCATACTTTTTGGCTATAATCTAATTTGGTTTGATAATTGTAAATGAAATTAGTTCAATTAAAAACTGATGAGCTTTGTCTAATGAAAAAATCCAGTCTTGTAATATTGAAATTATTTTAATTATGACAATTCAAAGGCTTGATGATTAATTTAACACATTGACAAATATAAATTTTATTTTTAATATGATGATAAACATGATATATATTGACATATTAAATACATAGAATTAGTATTTTTAAATAATTTATTATTTAATTTAGATAGTAATTACAATCATTTAGTTTTGACTTATCTAATTCAAAATAATTATGTAAAATATATAGAAAACATGATAATCTGAAGAATACAATTTTTCATATCTTTAGATTGTATAAAATGTCATTTTCATTTAAAACTAATGGATATCAATGAAAAAACTCATATTTTTCTCTTCAACAAAAATAAATAAAGTATCCTATAATATGATATTTAAGACTTTATGACCATTTTGTATTTAAAAACTAACATCAAAATGCTGGACACATCAAAATTTAAAGTTTTAAAAAGATTAGATATATATACATAGTAATGTGAGAGATTTCATTTTTTTCTTATTCAAATTTTTTTAATTGATATAATGTATGTTTTTTGATAATTATTCTAGATTTGTGTGGATTTTTTTACATCAAATATCTAACATGTTTGACTCTTTTAAGAGATAAAAGTTTCAATTGAAATTTTAATTAGTTAAAGAGTGAAATTTTATGTAATCAAATAACAAAAAAGTACATATTTAATGAAACTGAGGTGTATTTTTTATATATGTTTTAACTAGTATTTTCATTAGAGTATATATTTACTCCATAATGTTGTTGCTAAGCTGCTGAATCAAAAGAATTTTAAAATTATTATACTAAATGTGAATGATTATATTGCATCAAATTTCATATAAGTTAGATTTTTTAAATTTTAAACCATCATTGTTTGTATCAAATCTCAAGTTACACTTTTCATTGTAAAATTACTTCATTCTTTTCAGTATTATGTATTAAAATAAAAATCATAAAATCTGATTAGCGCTCAATAAGCACAAAAACCAGCCAATGTTTTGCCAAAAAACTTGTTTTTGAACAGAAATAGCACTAAACCTTTTTTTTTTGAATAGATTTTATTTCATTGTAATAGCTCGTATTGAAATTTTTTTTTTTAATTGAAACTATTTGAAGAAATAAAATCCAATTGTTCAATTCCTAAAATTCAATGTGTTGTTCAAGAAATACAAGAGTTCTAATGACAGAAAAATTTTGTTTCACATTGAACATCTTTATTAAGCTTTAAAGAGTCTTCATATAATTTTCTATTTATTCAAGCATGTAAAGTAGCATTTAAAATAACATGGAAATAACTTTAAAAGCGTTGATACCTCTTCAATGAAAACAAGGGGTATCAAGTTAAAAATAAAATCATTTAATTGAACAAGCATGGATTCAAACCTGTAACGTACATTTACCTAAACATCAAAATGTGATTTTTGTATTGTATATTCTAAAAATATATATCAAATAGTCTACTAACAACTTGAGCATCTACAACATCATCTGTGTATCTATGATTGTTTTTTATAATTATAAGTGCAACATTAGCTAATGATATATGGTGAGTAAGAAAGCACTTTGACTGAAATATATGATCCTTCAATTGTGTTGACAATAGTTATTTGGAACTCCAAGACTAGACTAATAAATAATTCGACTTGTCTGCTAGACGTAACCACTTTGTTTTATGAAATGTTAGAACATTTACAATGTCTACTTAAACTGCAAGTTCGTCAACCTCCCGCAAGTGAACTGTCGCTTGCGGAGGGTCCAAGCCTTAAATGAGGTAATTTTCTCTAACAGGTGGTCAAGGAAAGATACTCTTAAGTCAATATTAGACTCTTTCCAATGTACTCCCGCGTGGAGAGCCGGTGTCGACCTGCAACTTCGGAAGCAGACGATGCTCCATTCACCATCGTCTGTGTAGAAAGCGAAGTCGGTCCGGCTCGAGTTCAATCGTTGGGTCGAGCTCAAGGCTAAATCTGCCACGGGCAGCTGGTAACATTGCGAAAGGATGGGAAGACCTCTATAAGGCAAGAAACGGGTAAGATGGAGCTAACCACAAACCTGATCCGAGCTACCTAGGTCTACAAACAACAGTCGGATGAAGTAGAGATCTCAAGTTATGATCGTCTATTTCAGTGGCTAGTGGAACATGAATTGATTTATTCATCGAGTGAGTGTTTACCTGACCGTTGGTGATTTATGGACAACACTTCTGGTCACGATCAGCTCTACGATGAACTGATGTCGGACATGGATGGAGCGTCTGCAGTCGTGATTGCGTTCTGGAATTGTTCTGTTTCTGCGGCTATGGCGGGCGAACATGTTTGTAGAGAGGAGAGGATAACATCTTGTACATCTAGCCCGGCGGTACAAGAGTTACGTGTTCTGCAAGGCTGCCATTCGATGAAAAGCTCATTTTTCCTCGGGCCCTTTAGAATTAAAGGGGCAGAGCTTTGCTGAAAACAGAATGGGAAATGGCTGAAGATGAGTACCGTGTAGCTGCCGCGGTCGTCGGCAGCAAAGTGTCCAGACACAGTTACTTGAAAGTCCTGTCTACGAGCGGCATTCTGGCTGTGCGGTGCTGCCAATTGACATGGTACTCATCAGGCAGTAATGCTGACTGACACTTGCTCTGCCTATTTCGTACCTTGATAGAAGATTTAGGTGTGCAGCTTGAACACAGGTAAGTGCGTGACTGTGACTCGAAGGCTTGTCTTTTTAGACCTTTAGTTGTGGAATGCTGAATCCTTCAACACGTCTAATAGCTCAGAGCCGCGAAGCTGGTGTGTTGTGCGCATCTTGATTGCTGTCTTCTAATCAGCTTCTTCATCTTCAAAGATGTCACTTTCTCCAGTCGAAGTCTTTAAAGGACTGCCTCTGGGCCGGTTTGAGGCAAACTTGGTCTTCGTCACTTGTGTCCAATCAAAAGACGAAGAAAACTGCGACGAGCATGTCAATTCTCGTACTTCCGCGTTTGTCGAGTCTCAAACGTCCTACTTTGAGACGACGACATCCGTTATGTCCTTGATCAGCATACAGAGCTGATAGTGCGGCTTCTGCCTGGATTTAAATGAGGTTTGGTTGAAGTCTTCGTTCTGTGCTTCACAATGTGGTAGATCTTGAGCCTTTCCTCCCAAAATCCGTAAAACCTCCGATCTTCTTGTTCATGCACATCTGCCGAGTACCAACTGGAGCTTCTGAGGGAGTGCTGACCATTCATGTTTTGACTAACTATGATGAGAAGTTGTGGAAACTCATTTACAGCATCTGTGAAGTGCTGTGATTTTCATACAGGAGGTGGTTAAACACATTCATCAATCGGAGGACTCGATTGCCATGAAACGGGTGAGTCCACTGTGGAACTCGAAGCTACTTAACGGGACAGCAGGTGGTTAGCTCTTAGCCATGAGACACAAGATGGTTGCGGTCTTGCTGGTTCCATGCTGCCAAGTGGTGGCTGTAGTGTGGGCCAATGTCTCTATCTTGAAACGAAGCGAAGAACCACGAATTGCTTCCAAAAGATGCAGTCGGCATGGATTTCACTGGCTGCATGTAGACCTTCCTCACCATTTGGATCCGTTGTTTGTAATCTGCTATTCAGCTTGAGGTTAAATTGATCCTCATGTCTACACAACGAACAGTGTGTAGAGCCTTCAGGTTAGTAAGCTCTGGAATTGCCAAGATTGAATCTTGAGGACTCCAATCTATGAGCATTCATAACAGAACGTGCAACCTGCGCTGATCAAGAAAAAAGCAAGCGTTTGAGTTGCAATATTGGGTTTCTGATCGCAAAATCGAGAAATTAGGACAGCTTATGTTCAAAATCGATAAGACTGCACGTAGCGGCATTCAGAAAGAAGAGCGGTGAGAAGAAGCTTTCAGACGGGCGATGTTCGGAATGTGAAGAGCTTGGCAAAATGCAACAGGCAGATACTGATGCGCTTAACTTATGTAGAGCTGAAGACGAAGTGTTAAAGCAACGAAGTAAGACCGCTTTATGTTTTACATATAGCATGGAAGTTGGATTTTGGGATCTGTTCCATCTTCCACTAAATAGGCGTCTAATGCAACCTGATGGAAATCGTATCTCTCAAAGCCGTGAAGGAAATCTTGGAACTTAAAATCTTGGAATCCAAGAAGAAATTTTAAGTAAGTCAATGCAGTGTAGGAAAGGCAAGCAAGCAATGCGAGGTGTCGTACCTTCTAAAAGAAAACGAGCGAGTTTCCACATCTTACGTTCGACACTTACTACACAACTGGCATTTAGGCACTGTTGGTTCTTTTATTTCCCGTATTTTTGTGATCTTGTTACACCTTATTTCTTATGCCCATACAACAAAACTAACTTTCGTGTATTGACATACACGAAAGTAAGTTTGTAAGTAAGTAATTGTGGATCGATCATGAATGTCAGAAGCGAAATGTCTCTCTCTGTAGCAAGAGTGTGCCAGCTCTGAGTATAACAATCTCCTAAATTGGACACTAGTTCAGTTTCTGGCGACAAGTGAACGCCAGCAAACAGTAGAATACTCTTCGTAACAACAGAAGCACCCATTTTCTCTGGCGAATTGAACTAAATTCATGCACAATCTACATTGAGACCGTCTATTTGAATCGCTGAGCAAAATATCTAAGTTTTCCAATCTACTCTCACCAACATATAAGAAACATACAAACACTGATGCGTATGTACCAACTGTCTGTCCTGCATCGCGTCCATTAACTAGGATTCATCACAGCCCGCCACATATACAGTACTGCTAACTGACAACGAGAATTACTCCTATAATTCTCTTCAAAACTGTTTATTATTTTCTACATCGAAAACTTGACAATATGCGATATATCTACAGATAACATAATTGTCTGCAGGATCAAAGACAGTCACCAGTCTACAGTTCATGTTCTGTCTCAAATGTCCAGACGTCACCACTTTCCATGTAACATGTTGATTGGGAAGATGAAACAAGGAAAAATCTGCGAATTTCTTCCGTCCTGCAAATGCATAGTCCTTGTCTAGAACTTTCATCTGTAAGTTGAATTGGAAATCATGAAAATTCTGTTCTTTTCACTTTCGTGAACACTTATCCGTCGGATGCTGTAAAAGGAAAAGAGAAATAAGTACATCCATTGAGTGTATTCCACTCTTCTGACCTGCAGCTACTTCAATCATTCTAGCTTGAGTACAAATAAGAATTTCTGGGCCTTAGCCCTGACAATCTCATTAGCGTTGATATCTACAAGTAACATTCACCCCTCACATGTAATATGTGTTGAACTAGTCTGAAGAAATATAATACAATATCATCCGTACCAACTACGGATTTGGTTCATGTAATTCTTATGTAGATTCTGTGCTAAATCTCTATAAAAGATATGCAGTAGAGCCTATGCTGTGTTTACTGTACAGTGTCTTGTTTCGATGGTCTAGGTAGAGTGGATGTCAAAAGTAGACAGGAGACGTCATCTCTAATCTGTTGGTTTGGAATTTTCAGTAATCCGATAAGTCAGATTCCTATAATTTTAAAATTTTGTGCTTTGTCTTTAAGAGCGACACACTTGATTGATTACAATTTTTTTTCCTATTAAACACATACACCAAACAACTACACAGTTTTATTATGTTGGATGCATTGATATGCATATGAGTCATATCACTTTAACTCATATACATGTATCCACTGGAAAATGTAATGAATTTCCAATTGGTTGAAAATCACAAAAATATAATCTATTTTATTCCATGAATTCACCATGAAATTTTTGTTGAATGATGTCCCTCATATCCAAGGGAGTTTTCTGGTTAAAATTCTTGCGTTAATCAAACGAAGAATTGGCATTAATTTCTTATACGTGAAAATACGACAAACATAAGATTACCAAAAATAATCATTTGACACACAAAAAAAGGAGGTGTACGTGGTTATATATTTTCGAAGTAAAGGATTAAAATATCGATGGAGAAATTAAATCATATGTGAAGATTTTTTCATTTTTATATGTTATATGATGTGTAGTAATAATATTCTGTCTTTAGAAATTTACTCATAAAAATCGGAAAATATTTACCATTGATATGTATTTTTTCATATCTTTAGCTTTGATTTGTAACATCAACTAACATTTTTGTACATGATTAAGAATAAAAAATTAAAATTAAAAACATGAGATACAGAAAAAAAAACTTAATGTTGCAAGGAAATCGCGTTGCATTTTTATTTCAAGAATATGATCTTGAAAAACATTGAAAAGATCTTAAGAGAATGATACAAAAAATTGCACTAAGATTTTGAAGTATACAGTTGAGATATTTAAAAATTGAGACTTTTAACTGAGAAATAGATATGATGAGCCATCAAAAGTTCAAGTAATATTTACTGCTTTGTATGAGAGTGAGACCTTGTATTGATTGGATGCAAAATGAAGTTGGATCTCTCTGTAATGAATTAACATCAAGATATGCCTAAATATAATATTCTCTTCTATGTTATTGATAATTCAGACAAATTACGTACGTATTATCTAACGAGAACTAGTGACACTGTTCTTTGATGATTGGAAATATCCAAAAACATTTCTAGCTTCAGAAATTTTGTTGAAGACATTCGATGTTCATTTATTATTTTATATATATACACACACACTAACACTATGCTCAGATTGTAAAATTTAATTGACGACTCTCAAATGTTGAAATAACTTCATAATTTTTAAACTTGAACACTTGAATTGCTCTAGACTTAGAGTTTCTATGAGTAGAAAAACGAAATTTCCATTTGATAACTAAAAAAAAAAAACTCTTGTTTTTAAAAAATCAAATCCTCTTTATCTTGATGGATAATTATTGTGAATTAGTTGAATTATCTTTGCAACTCAGTTTCATATTTTTTGCCCTTAAATGGGGCTATGCTTACTTCAAAATATAAAATCGGATAATTTAATTCTTTCAAATGAGATAGAAAGAAAATTCGAATTCGAATTTCTTGAGTATTGTATATTTATCAGTAGAAAAATACGTATTGAGAACTTCAAATCATTTTTTTATGATTTTTTCACTGTTTAGAGAAGAGTAGTTCAAAATTAAAATTCTTTGGAATCTTCTTTTACATTAAGGTAACGGATCTTATTTTTCAATGTTCCTGATTGATCTTTCAATCAAATATTTTATCGATTATAATAAAAACTATCCAAGTAAAGTAGTGCACACATTCAAGGTAAGGAAACTATGAAAAGAAAAGGAAAAACTACTAACATGATATAAAATAAATCAATGTACGCGGACATCTCAAGCTATTGAAACTCTATTGGTGCTCAATCTTCACTATTCGATATGAAATATTATTGAAAAATCTATTTCATTTACTCTGGAATTTTTATTTTTATTTGTATCTATGTGTATTTATTTTTTTCGTTAGAAAACAGCCATAAATATAAACTCTCGAACCGACGGGGTAGGGTTTGCTTTCGATCTCTTTCTGGTTGTTAAAGTGCAGCGTTTGAATCAATATAAAAATCTGCGGCTCGTTAAGGGCTACTTAGTGGAGAAAATGGAAAATGCCTACCCTTCACTCTTACAATGGTTATGCATTTTGTACTTTTTTCCTCGCCATCCAGGTTATAGCTTGGATACTTCAACGTTTTGCATGTGGTGACTTACATAATTTCCTTATCGTGTGCTACTTTGCATTTATTGCAGATTCATGCCATACTCCATACGTCCTGACTCGGCCCTTTATCTTTTCTAGATGTATCTAGATAAACTGGACCTTGTTACATGTCAAGCATCTCAAGAAGAAGAGCCTTGTGGGTTCATGAAACACAGTAGGTTTCTAGTGGGTTCAGTACTTCCCAGATTGGAACATTTCTTCGGAAGAAAGTGATCCTACTGACAGCAAACATCGATGTGTCTAAAGTTGAAGGGTTAGACCAAGTAGCTGGGCTTGAGTGAGGGCCATTGTGCCTGCCTGCGTCTCTCGCCATCCTACTGAATCACACTCGAGTGGATTCTCTCAGGTGACCAACTGGTCAAAGCATCGACCTCATCATCGCACTGCAACTATGGGCACAGGAACCGTAGATGTCGTAGTTAACTTAAAGTCGCGATTCGCGAAATCCTTACCCCGGAACGGAAGCAGAATTGACGGCGGGAATTTGCGGGCGGTGACGAAGACGAGGAGGAGGAGCAGACCTGTGTGGTCTGCCTGCCTTCACTCTGCTCTCGCCAATCAAAGCTGCAGCAGCAGTTGCGTGGACGCTTTCGACACGGATAGTGCTTTGGTTTGATTGACAAAATGCGGAGCCCGCCACCGCCTATTTATCCATGATCCATCAATCAGTCCCTTGCAAGTGCTAGTGCAACGTTCGCAACCTCAATGCACAGAATAAACTCTCAAGTCCGAGTCCGTCGCGAGCTGGGTTTCTACTCACTTACTTACTTACTTCGACCTGGAGGCTACCGGATCCGATCCTCAGAAGCAATCTGTACTCGCATCTGGCTCTGCTTGAACCACCTTCTCAGTCTGCTGAACATCCAAACCCGCTTTTCTGTCCCTTGGAGCTGAGAGGAAGGAAGGAAGGTGGCAGGCAAGCAGGATCCAGCAGCAGCAACCTTCCCTATCAAATTTAAATCATTATGGCATGAGGCAGCGTGCTGCTCTGCTCGTCCTATCTAGTGAGTTCGTAATGTAATGGAATGTTGCCCAGGTGGACACAGCTTTCGAGTCCCCACTGAACTGAAACGATATACAGAGCACTATGATCTCTGATTACCAATCTCCAGTTTAAACTAGGCAAAGCTAGATGTTGTAGTTTTGGTCGTAGTAGAAGAGGTAGTAGTTGTTAGTTGCAACGAAACTCGAGTCTCGACACTCGCCTTATCAGAGTGGGATATCAGCATGTTAAGTGCGTCATTAGATTATATATGATTGATTTCGACAGACGAGGAAAGAGTACTGTAAGTTCTTAGTGGGTACTGGTAAGTGACTTTGTCAGACTAATTAGGCCCATAAAGCGAACAGCATTAGCCACTCTCTTAGCTGCGTTACGTAGATGGCGTCAGAGGTCATGGAGACTTCCTTCTTCGCTTGCCATCGTGTCCCGTCTGGTCTTCGCATTGCAGTCGCGGAACTTACATGCGGCATGATCGTGCAGTGGAGAATCTTTCGACGGATGAAGTGGATTCCGCAAGGCGACGTTAGAGTATAAAATCGCACGAGGGCTAGTAAGATTCGCGCTCCTCCCTATCTTCGAGCAAATCAAAAGGAGCGCCTCTTCTTCCACTACGAGATGAAAGTACAGCAGTCATCCTTAAATCTCGCAGCATGTTGGGCTCACAGTTTCGTTTGTACTTGTTTCGCGACTTTGTTCTGTATTGGCGAGGTCATCATACCTCTGAGCCCTCTCTAATTTTAGTATGTTCGAGGACTTTTGCAAACGACATCGCTGAGCAAGCTAGAGCATAATTTTAGTTCGGTCCTCTCGTTTTGTTGTGATCATAATCGCCCTTCTCGATTACGCTCCAGTGTGTGCTGTTCGCTCATTCCGTGGGAGCAAACGAAATTCTGTCAAATTCGTACAGAATACTTTCAAACTCGTACCCCTCCCCATCGTCTCATCTTCTTCTCATGAGAGCTCGCAGATATGCTTCTGTTTGTTGGGAGTTCGAGAGTTGGCGACACCACCCAAAGTATCAGGAGCAGGGACCGAGGGAGGGACCAGGAGCAAGTTGGCGGAGAATGGATGAGAGAAAGGAAGAGGGGACGGCAGGGAGGTTCTGATTGGGTCGGGTCAGGTGGGGTTTGACCTGTCAGAGAAGGTGGGTATTAAGTGCCTGCGGGCGGGCGGGCGAGCGGGCTGGGGTGAGGGGTTGCGGGCGTACGAGAAAGAGAGGATTGGGCTCTGGAGTGCTGGAGTTGAGTCTTGTTATGATTTACTGATGTGCTGTTATGTAATCAAAGGAGCTAGCTATATTCTTCCAACGGATCTTCGACCAACTCAAGGCTGAAAAGTCAGCCTAACGGAATCAAAACATTTAGACCTCTCAAAGCGCACATAGGACTTTGCTTTTTGGAGGCGAGTGAATCTTCAAATGTCGGAATAGGAGTTTCAAATTCATGTAGGGAAATTTTAAAGAGCGAGGTACGATTCCTCGACCGTGGAGTTTGTCAAGATCATGTGGGAAGAAAGCTCCGGCCTCAGGCTCAGGGTCTTCCCAGTGCATCCCGTATTAAATACGACCTTTCATTCCATACAGGCCATCCAAAAGCAATATCTGGCCGGAGAGGACGACATCATATACAAGGCGTATAATCAAGTTGCGAGATTCCCTGCGGCGCGTGGGTGGACCCCTCCCTCGCGCGCTCCCTCCTCTCCTCGTCCTTGCACTTGCAGAAAATGGAAAAAGACCAGCAACGACTCAGGAGGCCTGCTTTCTTTCGACTCAGCCACCTGGTCTGGTATAAGGGAGAGAACATGGTGGAGAGAAAGCCCAATTTATGGAGACAAATCCATACGGACGGAACGAATATGAGCAATAAAATATTGAGGATAATGTGCGGGATGATGCCGTGTCATGCCCCGGCCTGCTTGACAACTGTCTGGGAGGAACATTTGCGATAGACTCTTAAAGTTTGTCCAATAACGTGGCTACCACCAACCCTACATCGTACTACACCTCCTTTGGTGCTATGGCGCGCCGACATGTGGCCCGAGCTATCTGATTCCCTCTAGACTGCAGCAGCGTAACATACGGTTGCAGCACACGATTCGAATGGATTGCTCTCGAGAGCGGCCTCGCCATGTCTCTTTTCCTTGTGCCCCAGCTCAGGGCCCAGGCCTTGCTCTCGCTCTGCCCGGCCCTGCCCCAGTGGGGGGAAGTCAGGGGTCTTTTCGCCCTATACGTGCCGGTATTCCTCTCTCTCTCTCGCTCGCTCGCTCTCTCTCTCTCATTATGGGCTGGAGATGTCCACCTGGAATGTTCTTCCTGCTAGACCGTTGACGGATGCTGTGCCCCGCTCTCGCTCACTACTCAGTGCGAGCACCCGCGCACCTTTTCAGCCGTCATAGTACAGCCAATGACATGAGCCTGGCCGGAGTTTTCCACGGCTTCGATCGCCTGTGCTGCAGGTCGCTCGCCCGAAACCGTCCAGAGGGCATCATTGTCCAAATTACGGGTTCTTTTCGTCACTAGATGAGAGATGAGAGAGGTGAGAGACAGTGAGAGCAAGAGAGAGAGAGAAAGAATGATGAGCTCGCCCTCTCGCAGCGAGTACGTACGTAGTCTGTCTATCTGCCAGAGAGAGAGACAAAGAGAGAGCACTGACCTGTATCTGAGAGCAGGATCAGCTCTCAGTATTTCGTGGCCCGGGTGGGCGGGCCATGGTTCATGTTTCAAAGGACTTCGGAGTCGGGAAGATGGAGTCCGGAGAACTCGGTTGAACCTTGAAAGCGAAAGCGGAAGTGGCAATAGCACAGGGGAGGTCGTTGAACAGGATGTCGTGTGGAGTTGTGTTAAAACGCATTGTGCGCATTCAGTTGTCATGTTGACTTAATTTGGAAGGAAAGGTAAAGGACGAGCTTGTAGCGGAGACAGGAAGGATGGCAGGCAATGGAGGATAGGTGCTAGGCACGGGGCAGACGGAGTAAAGGAGATCTGATTCGGGACGAAGGTCCTGAAGGAAAAGGAGTAGCCGAGACTGCAACTTCTGCGGCCGCTTCTGGCGTTTAGTGTCAGCATATGACCTTGGTGATACAGTGTGCTAGTCTGTCACTCACGCCCGGCAGTCAAGACTGTCTCTTTGGGATCAGAGCGAACTGCGTATGATATTTTACACTCGTTGTTTGTTTTGTCTTGTCATATTCGATCGAGTTGAAGAGCTTGATTAAGAGGGATATTTTTCTATCAACCTCGTGCTTTCGTTCCTCACCATCTGTGTACTCTTCCTCACTCCAGTGCCAAAACATTCGTCATCACTTGTGGAGCAGTTCATTGAAGACATTCCGATTAACAAACTCTGCGAAAAGTCCCTATGCTATACACAACGTCGTACAGGCCCAGACATGTAAATACCGGCGCTGTGATATGCAAACCATTGACATTGCTATGCATTTCTTTGATGCTGGCCAAGTCAATGGCCTCGATTTTCTTTATCAAGTTCCTTATGTCGTACACTGATCAAAACTGCTTTCCCCCTGCCCATGCCTTCTCTCGAATCCTGAATAATATGGCCCACATCCCCAACCCCTCTCCCTATTTTGTAAATTACTCATCCTCCACATCATGGAAAGTTGCCTTGCCTCCGCGAGACTGAAGGCTCAGTTGACGTCTACATGGTGCGAGTATCTCCCTAATACCGACTAATCTATCATCTAACAGATCTGGCTCCCGTACCATAGAGTTACAGTGGCTTCCGCGCCGTTTGCCCACACACTCGCATGGACGTAGGACGTAGATGAAATATACAAGATTGCCGCAACGTTCTTCACGACATAAGTTTTACACATACGAAAACATCTAATATTCTATACGGGGTGCGCCTCTCGGCAATGATTGTGAGAACATATCCTTGCTAGCAAATAAAGCGTGAAGTCTGGGCAGTAATCAAAATTCTGTGTCGAAAATAACGACATACCATCCCACGGTGTAGGAGTCATGAGAATATCTTGAATTGCAAACGATCCACGAGACAAGACGCAGGACGAGGTTGTTTTAAATATCAGCTTCAGAAGTCAAAATTCGGAAACAGGAAAGTATTATCGTGGGCGCAGGAAAATATTCGCTCATCCGTAAAGAGTGGCGTGACGAATACTCCGGACGTTGCGCAACAGCTTTTAGAACGTGCCACGCACGCAGCCCGAATAAGGTCTAGATACTCCAAGACATGGGATTAAGTACACCTTGTCCACATCCTCTGGTGAGTGAGCGAGCATCTGAACTGCTGCAGGGAAGGGATGAGCTTTAGTGGCCTTTTCCGCCCGGTGAACGTTTTTACCAAGAGATAACGACGCTTCAACGAGACCACAACCATGTGCATACTGTACATTAAAAGACAAGTCCAGAGACCACGTGAAATTCAACAGCCTCGAGACCACAGAACAGAGAGCGCATTTCGTATCGGTGGACACCACTCGCGTGAGAATAATCGCAAGTATCGACATCGACATCGACAACATACTCTCTGATAAAATGAGTAAAGTGGCGAAATCATGCAGAGCATCGACATACAAGAGTATGGATGTGCTATGATGTGCAGTGCAAGCACGGGCGAGCCGGCGAGCGAGCAAGTCATGTTTCTGCCTGATTTGAAAAAATGGTTTTCGCTTTACATTACAGCAGCATACACAGCAAAGCTAAAGCACGCTAGAAATTAAGAATCAACTGCCATGTCTGCACTACATTGCCACCGCGCAGAACAGTGCAAGAGCCAGCACGCACGCGTGAACGATATCCCTGCTCCAAAACTCTGCTGATGAATAGGCGTTTCTATCCAGAGGTCCACGCACTGTCGTATCTATGAGAAGGCGTGTCTCGGTGGGATGTAGGGAGGAGGTTCACACTATCCCAGATTCATCTATACCTGCCTTTCCCTCTCGAGTCCAAACTGGATCCGAGAGATGAGATACAGTGAAACTAACGAAAAGTTTCCTACTCTATTCTGAGTGGGCACGTTATTGAGAAGAGAGGAGGTGAGGGAAGGAGGGACGAGATATGGCAACACCTACACTCAGACGCCCGCTCCGCTGTGTCTCGTACTTCCCCAAGCTCGATCCTTATCCCTTCCAGTCCCAATCGTACAGTGGTGCCTTCGTTGCAGAAGGAGGAGCCCCATGAAAGGTTAAAGACTCGGGTCAAGGGCAGATCACGCGGCTTCGGGTCGAGTGCAAAGCACGAGGTTTAGAGGGAGCATCACTGAGAATGAACTTGACCCTTTCTTCGGCGTAGACTGGAACCGCGACTGCAAGGGCTTCATATGAACGTAACAATGAAAAGATCGACCATCGCCCCGTAAACAAAGCAAATTTCTCGAGCGATAAAATTCCAACGTCACCGTCAAACTGGGTCAAGCGGGTCGAGAGTGTGGGTAGGGGGGAGAAGAGGGGGTGAAGGGACGCGACCGGGTAGCATCCGCGTGGCGAAACGTATGGGAGCTTGACTTCAGCGTGAACGTATAACTCATGAGTGGCAGCAGGCAAGAAAAAGGTCGACATGATAAAGAGTCAGTGCCACATTACTCCGCAAGTTGATGATGATGATGAGCCAGGCCAGTCGTGGTGGGTTGGCAAGAACGAACTAGACACCCACTCGGGCACCAATCGCTTGCCATGCCAGCCCGGCGACCCACATTACATACTCTCTTCATAATTCCCAGCAGCTTTCAGTGCCGGTGCAAACACATGGGCAATACGGGGACGCAGATCCTCAAATTCGAGCGCCCCTTGAGCTTATAGATTGATCGGTAGTGGGTGGTGCTGCAATCTGCTGACATTCCTGGAAAACCGCTCCGCTTGGTTGCTTGAGTTGAGTCGAGTTGAGATGACTGTGACAACGTCGGTGAGAGCCAAAGGTCATGAAAACCCGCAGGCAGAGAGAAGATTCGGACAGAGGTAGTATACACGAAACGGTGTGCTGGCGCTCGCAAGAAAAAACCCGCCTTCTTTGGTGCTCGCACATGATCATCACCATCTCCTCATCGATGCTGAATGGTGGCAAATGAGGCTGCCTGCCAGGAAAACAAGAAGAAGACGGGACAGTTTCTTCACTCTACCACCAGCCAGAATTGGTCGGCAGACCAGACACATATGGCGGCTGGGAGGAAGGGAGTCGGGTCGGGGAGCTGGGTTGAGATGGGTTTGAAGGATATCGTCAGGCTGTGTAATGTTACAGAAGCTTCCCTGAAGATGTGCCCGGGGAGCGTGGAGCGCAATCTCTTCGACTGTGAAAGTTGATTCAGAGAATTACAGTCGACTTCCATCTCGCTGATACCTGTTGCTCAAAAGTGTACATCACGAGCTCGGAGGCTATGGCAGAAAGTAGAGTATGAGGGACGGCGAGCCCAGCAACGAGGAAATCCACTTGACGTACATACGTAGGGCCAGTGCTGCGATGAAGCGATGGCGGTTGAGGATGGAACCAAAAGTGGAAGAGAAGCCTCCGGAAGAGCGGATGTTACAGTAGAGTCACATAATCAGGACAGGGGACCTTAAAGCCGATGCGTGAGTGTACAGACAGACAGGTCGATTGCACCGAAACCCTCAGCCTTTCGTGGGAGTTCCAGCGTAACGCCCCTCGTTACCCTAGACTGCGCAGGAGACTATACAACACACGGTCTAGGACAGGGAAAGCCGAGCGCTCTACCGGATCGTGATGTAGTCATCGCAATTCATCAGGTAGTGCTCCAGCTGCGTCAAAATCGCCTCCACGGCCTTCTTCGACGCCTCTGCCTTGCCCTGCGTGAGCGGTTCATACTCCACCGTCCATGTGACCATGGACGTCTTCCCGTCTCTGTGAGGTGCGAACGTCTTGGTGCACCTGTAAAATGAGTAAAATTTCTCCCTCATTTCTCCTCCTATTATGGAGTGCACCTCGGTCTTGCTCTTCTCGTCAACCAGATCAATCCTCGCCACCGCGTATTCCACAATCCTCATTCCTGCAAACGTTTCCAGGCATGTCAAATTGTGCAATGGGCGCAGGCGAGCCCTCGAGCTCATAATAAACACACAGATTTCTCTCTCTCTCTCTCTCTCTCTCTCTCTCTCTCTCTCTCTCTCTCTCTCTCTCTCTCTCTCTCTCTCTCTCTCTCTCTCTCTCTCTCTCTCTCTCTCTCTCTCTCTCTCTCTCTCTCTCTCTCTCTCTCAGACGCCTTCGTCTAATCCGGCACACAAAACAACCGGGCAGCGGCTTGAGCGAGTTTGTGAAAATGGCCTGGGATGTACCGGTGGGTATCTTGATGACTCGAACGCTTCCGACGCCCCCTGTGCCCTTGATCATCTCGACGGAGACCATGAATAGAGGCATAATTTTTGGTAGGACATTAGGCAGATCCTTAAGAGCGGCCCAACACCTCTCTGCCGACACATTGAGCTCCTTCTTCACTGAAAGGGTCGGCATGACTGGTTTCTGATAGTCCCAACAACCTGCCGAACGACAGTCGTCGTCGATTCGCAAGCTCCGTCACAGGCCCGCGGGCGAATGGCCAAGCAAGCGTCTCCACGAGCCACCCTCACAAACTACTGATGCTGCTGCTGAAGCTCGCGACCGGAACCGGGGTCCCTCAACCCGCCTCTTCGCTTCGCATAAAAAGGGCCTGGAATTCAAATGCCCAAAAAAATCTGGCTCCACGCTTACAATACGCACGCGCCTCCTCTGGTTTCAAGTCGACGACAATCGCCCGACCAAAATCTCCGGCTGCGCTCCAATCGACCGATTGACCCTGAGACTTGCGCGCTTCAACAACTGTCACCACTTCCGCTGCCAGCTCCTGTGATATCAAGAAACGCCTCCTAGACCACCATCCCGCAGATGCCCCGCAACAAAAACTCCTCGGCACCTCGCCTCCGGGCTAGCCGAGAGAGAGGGAGGAGCTGTGGAGCGAGAGAAGGGAGAGCAGTGAGAGTGCTAGAGATAGAGAGCGAAAGAGAGGATGAGGTGAAGAGCTAACACAGCAGACAACAGAGAGCGCCGACTGAGAGTCAGTGTTAAGGGAGCTCTGAAGGCGAGGAGTAGCAGCTGTAGTAGTAGTTGTAGTGGCACTAGTAGTAGGAGGATGAGGAAATGATGTAGTGGTTCGTGTGTTTTAGTATACCGGTAGAAAGAACTAAAGTGTGAATTGGTATATTGCCTTGTCTGCCTGCGCCTGCCTGACGACGAGACCAGGAACAACTGAACGAACCGAACTGCGAGCTAGCTCGAGATATGCTAATGTCGATACGGAGAGCGAAAGTGAGAAAGGGATCCTGAACATCGCAGGACCGAGTATTAATGGAGAAGGTGGGAGGAGAAAGCGAAGAGCCAAGGCCGGAGCAAGACAAGGATGGCGGATGGACGTGGGTGCCAGGGAGAAAGGTCATCGCAGGCGCTACTTTAAACTCTCAATAATGCCGCCTCCTTTTTCTCCTCCTCCTCCTGCTGCTGCTGCTCTGCGGCTTCGATCCCCCTGCACTTCCCTCCGCAACAAGCACTGGACCGCACTGCGACCCCCAAATTCTCCTCCCCCCAGTGGGAGCAAGGAGAATCTGGCGCCCTAAACCGGTTGCCAATTCCTCGTCCTTCGTGACGGCCATGTAGAGCTGGGCTTCGCGGTCGCGAACCATGCAAGCGATAGGCTTGGCGGACCCACAGGGCTAATCGGAAACTGGAGACTCGAGTCAGGTCCTACCAAACAATTCCCGCGGGGCGAAAGAGAGCGTCGCGAACCAATCACGCGACGCTGGTTCGTCGCCATCACCCAGTTGACGAGCACCGGTGGACGTCGCCATCACTATTGCGTGGGCGGTTGATGCCACGCGTATTGATTCCGATTCCCTGTCGCTGCCCCACCACCACTGTCGCTCGGAAGTCGCTTTCGCAATTCCTGTTTGACGACGACACCGATGGATCCCTGATCTTCGTCACGCGCCGGACCTGACCTGACCTGCCCTTCCCGACCCATCCTTAGGCCTGCCCCGCCTGTCGACGACGACCTCAGGCTCGATGTCCACATCATGCTAGTCTGCCCGTCCTCCTCCTTCCTCGTGCCCGGCCTGGTGCTGGCAGCTGCTGGAACTTGATTCTCGCTTGAAGGATGCCGGGCCTAAGTAGGTACTTACTTTAGCATAGCTCAGGTTAGCTTATGACAAGCCACTTTGGTCCTTACATTTGCGAGGAAACGCAATGATGCTGCCACCCCCATTTTAAAGGACTGCTCGTCATTCGCTAACTGATGTTTTACATCCACGACCTTTTGCTTTCCACGGCTTGTGTTGGTGCCGAAGCTCTCCGAATAACTTTAAGCAAACAGATTCTCTTCTATTTTGGGCCTCTCTTTTATTCTGTCGGTCCTCGGTCCCGTTAACCTTTGGGAAAAGCGAATCTAAAGTAACTAACTTCGCTTTTCCTTTCGTTTTACTGGCAAAGTCATCAGCATCGCAACACTTGCGGATATTCTCAACGCGGCATCAAACTTCAGTTCGTTGAATTTCTTGTCAGTAATACCCATTTTTACAGTATCCACTACCGTGCCACCGTTTTTTAACACTGACATGAGGTTGGAGGTTCAAACTCGACATAGAGTGCGCGAGATAGGTCATTATTCACCAGATTTCTTCTAAATTGCGCAAGATTCTTCCCCCACCTTAACGCAATAAATGCGAAGGACCTGAAGGGAATTCCGCTGGAGGTCGCTCCAGTCCCTCTAATTTCTCTATGTCCGTATGTCGTATTGTATTTTGCATGCTTGAAAACTGAAGCACCGCAAACGAGAAATACACATAAACAAGTGGCTGCCGGTGGTATAAGTTAAACAGGTTGGGGATTTCTTATCAACAAGCGAATTTCAGAACAAATATGGAAGTTCAGCAATCCTCGCCCCTTCGTATCGCTCACTTTCCGTATGTGGATGGCGATCTCCACCTATGCGAGGGCTTATTTGAATAATACGTGATTAGACAACTTAGACGTCGGGACAAAGAAAAGATTCTCTGATGCACCCGAACACTCGAATAGATCATGAGTCATGACCGTGAGAGACTGAAACATGTCGCTACTTACCCTTAAATAGTTAGTTTCAAGAATCAAGCCCCAGTTTTCAGGAGTTGATTCCCCGTCTTAATGCAACACCCTTTCGACAAAGTCACTGAAATATCTGCTCACGTAACCTGCTTTTTTTAACCTTCTTACCAAGTCCATAATTTAATGCCGGATGACGTTAGTTGCTCTTGAATTCACAGGACCTGTATAGCAAGCGAAGCATAACCTCTCCATCCAACAATGCCAAGCATCTCCAGGACGTGGACCGACATACCTCCGTCGACTACGTATCCTCAAACAGCAAGTCCTCGTAACTTTTGGAGTCAATGAATGGAAATCTATGGGAAACTGCAATCTAGCCGATTAACCCACAGCAGCAATTTCAAGAAGTTCGAGCATCTACTGCTACTACTGACTGAAAACCAGAGGACACGACAGGGAAGACACATGATACGCCTCTACACTGAAGTGACATATTGCCCCGAATACTCTTTAAGAATATTTATAATTATATTTAATATTTAATATAAGAATTTTTACTGCTGCTGGCATGATGGTCCAATTCGACCAATTTTCTGAATGAGGATTTCAATTCTCACATAATTCTATTCTTTGTTCGCCCCCCAAGAGTTTAGTGCATTGCCGGAAAAACCCCATCATTTTCTAACATGATGGGTTTTTTTGGGTCAGCCCCATGACTCATTCAATCATCATGATTGCTTGACCATAGATCTGGAGTATCAATTGCTTCATTGTCCACGGCTTCCATCTTGGACATTTTTCTGCTACCTCATCCCTAGAAACCTCACCCTATCCAAATCAAGGATTTTCCTGTTGCTGTATGAGGGTACTGGGAATTTGGTACGAATCATGTGGGGAAGATATATCGTGAGAGTGTTTGTAAAGTATAAAGAGACGAGTGAGGAACTTTTCTTTCGTGGTCTATCTACACGTCGCACCGAATCAATATACTAATATGCCAACGAGGCGTAGACGAGTGACTCACATACATATATCAACCCAGGAGATTTCGAACGAGGAGACACATCGCATAGCTTTCCTTGAGGAATTTGGAAACATCTTCGAAGAGATGCAAAATGAAGAAAAGATGAACCACTAGTGATAGTAAGACATTTATAAGAAGAAGAGCACCTAGTTAGGTTGTCCAGGGTGAAACCTGGTACCTTTTCAACGAGCCCAAACAGATACATTCCAAGTTCATCACTCAACCGACAACTTACTTTATTCATCCAGTTCTTGTAGACTTGGATTCTTTTATACATAGCAAAGTCAGTAGATTCTTTTGATTTTTAATAATCTACTAAATTTCGTCTCATCATTTTAAAGGTTTCAAATATCTAATAAATGCACAATATGAACAATATGAGGATTATGTTTGGCATGCTTGTCATAAGTCCGAGTTTTAATATGTGATCTCATGACCATTATAGCCTTATACTACCATTTAATCGACTTTGATAGATACAACTCTCCGTTAGCCCCTAAAAGTCAGCTCAAGACCAAAACTCGACCACGACACATTACGAAAACCCAATCGAGACGTGTTCACTTCGATTTGAGTCTAACATTTTAAGTAAAAAATCCTTACCTCAGTAATCCGAATAGATCCCCGTCAGCGGATGGCCTAAGCTGTGAGACAAACTACATATTGACGAAATCTGGATTTCTGTTTGATATGAACTGAATTGGTGGTAAGATACGCGTACATTATAAAATTCGGGGGAAAAATGAGGAAAAGAAAACAGTGTCTATGGTCTCCTAGCAAGCCCTTGTCTTCCGACCCAACAACAGATGACAACCGGACTTCTGCTAGTTGAGGACAGAAACCAAATCAGAACACCAAGAAGACAAAAAATTCTTTTTATCCTACTTTGCATCTTTCAACACAAACCCATATGAACGGAATTTCGGAAGAACTGATGCCGCATAATGGGATATAAAGAATTTTGAAAAACTAGTGTTGCCCTGCTTGGAACTTCTATATTGGTATTTCAAGCATCGGACTGGATATAAGTCGCGTATATTTAGTAGTCAATTCCACTTTCTACCTCCAGTGCTTTACACGTAGCTAGAGGTGAACGAGACAGACATTTAAATACAGGTGCTAAGGAATGAACCATACCGCAAGAAAGAGACCAGCAAATTTCATCACCCGCCTATGGTAGGGCAGCTGAACTACCCCATCTTCGAGCTTCACTGGGATGGTGCGACGGCAGAATATATGAGTAAACTATTTGAGAGAAATGAATATTAAATTTATTGTTCGGAACACCAAAAGACGAAATCTCTCCACTTTTGCGACCCTTGAGCTCTTTACACACGTGCTCGCTCTCTTTCCATTCCTCACTCCATCTCTCTACTTTGCCGTCAATTTGTCAACTCTTATGTTGTCAGATTCTCCCATTTAGCCCACATTTCTCACCTTCGTGTGTTGGCCATCTCTCGTCTCTAGTCAAGTCCCATTAGATGCCGGATGTCCCCGATTTCCATTGGATCCTTTCAAGCGAATCTCCTGCACAACTTGCACCTCCTGTCTAAGGACAAGTGAAGTGCCATGGTTGGGTAGGATATAATAAGTACTTTATTTATATATGCGTGTATCCGTATACTGTAAAGTATCTTCCTCTTTTTTTGTTCTTTGTTAGCCCGTTATAAATATATTTCTCATTCAGCATATGAGGTATAAATTTATATTTGTCTGCAGCTTGATTATTTTGAACGCGTTCGAAGGTGTTTATAGATTTGAAAATAAGAAATGTCTTCAAACATATGACTAGATTTAAGTAAGTGCACTATTTTCACGTCAGGATTAGATGCCCTCAGCTTCATTGTACCCAGCATGTGGTATATCCCTTTCAGAGACTGAATAGTGTAAGATACAACATCTACAAGGTCATATTAAGATGAAAAAACTAGGGAGTTTGGGAAAATTGAGAATGTTTTGATCCCCATTTACTCGTTATAGACACTTATATAGACAAGTATTTTTCCCACCAGGAACTTGCTAAATTTATAAGTTTCTTATCGTTTGATGGTCATTACCTCACGGCCTATTTTAAGTCAGTTATCTCATATGTGAAAGCAACTAATGGTTTGTATTAGTTCAATTACTCTCCCTCTATTGAAGTATTTTTCTTCAATCA